TTGATACTGTACTTCCGATTTGATTTGAAACTGTCTCATTGCTATATGTTTATCAATAAAACTGTAGGAAAAAAATAAAATAAAATAAAATAAAATACTATTTATAAAATATGCCTGCCGCAAGCAACCATAGCTAACTAACTGACTGTTGGGTGGCACCTTGCATGGATTAGCTGCTCATTTTAGAAATTTTAGGAAAATATATGCTCCACCTCGGCATTGCACACCCTTCTTTCAATAAAAGGAAAGTTTCAAATAGTCCTGAGGAATGTGGCTATTCTGTTTCATCTTCCTGTGTCTCATCACATTCTGTGCAGGTGAGCAGCCAGGCATGGCAAGCTCATGGCTCCTAAAGACATGGTGGGAATGGACTCCTGCCTGTGTGGCATGCCTCCTGCCACCCACACAGAACTAAACAGACAATTTGAGGAGCTGTAAGTTCCACAAGGCTGTTCAACTCTGTCGAACTGAGAACATGACCTTCCACTAGAGCCTAAGGAAAGGGGCTTGGTTCTCCTGCTGTGATCATCCGATGCCTGGGCTGGGGAGCCACTCCAGGTGAGCTCATGCACTGGCCTCCGATCAGAGTGGAAGCTGAGGAACTGTATTGTCAAGGGGATGGCAGCAAGCAGATTTTAGATGCAGACCAAGGGAATAAGTGAACAGGTGGCAGTGAGATGAGACTGACTAGTTACCTTCATCCTCAGAAGCTGTCAAGTGGGAAGACGCAGCCACAGCACTGTGAACCCCAGGCAATGGGGAAGTGACCGGAACATTGCATAGAGATGTCCCTGTGGACAGAGATGCCTGCTGAGACTGTCCTGGGAGAACCACTGCTTCCTCTGAGGAGCCCAAGGAGAAGCCGTTACTGCTTTGCCCCGAGCCGTGGACAGTGCTTCTGCCCACAGAGTCCGTGGCATCCTCGGATAATGATGTCTCCACCAGGCCACTTAGGGACAGCAGCAAAGGGCCCGAGGGAGAGGCAGCAAAGGCCACAGAGTGCTTCCCACCGTTCCTTGCGGTTGGCAGTCGGGGGGCCAAGTCCTGCAGTGGCTGCTGCACACATGGGGGGAGAAACCAGGAAGCTTTGTGCCTTGTGAATCTGACATCTAACTGGCAAGGAGAGGGCCCTGCGTCCTGGAAGCTTGCCGGCCTGTCAGTGTCTCCAGAGTCATGGCTGGTCCCTTCCCAGGAGACCACAGGAGAATCCCTCCAGCCCATGGACTGTGACACCATTGTGCCAGGCTGGAGCCGTTGGGAACGCCTTCAGAGCAGACAGGAGGAGCGCTCTGCTGCCTGTTGTCCCATCCGATGCTGTTCTTGAGCTCACCACATGGCCAGCCAGCTGGGGATTTGGAGCACTGTCCTGTAATGAGCAAGAATTAGTCAAGAGAAACAAAGGTTCATTCCTGTTATTTTTATCCTAAATTGTTATGAGAAGGCAAAAAAAAAAAAAAAAAATGAAACTTTAAACTCTGCCTATAAAACACACACATTTATAATTAAAAATAAATAAATAAATAAACTAGCCACAAAACTAGCAGCACACAGAGAAGCAGGGAACATTTTGCAAAGCAAAAAACCAAAAACAAACCACTGAAGAAGCCACAAAGATCAACTAAAAATGTAAAACATGCATATGCCAAAATTATTCCAATATTATCTGAAAGTAAAGACACATTTTCATATTTTCATACTTTTGGCTTGTTTCTCTTTTTTAGTTTAATCGATTTCAACCAAGTAGGCTAGTGGCATACAACACGGTGGAGGAAATCAGTAGCACCAAAAACGTTCTTTTGTGTAACTTATATTAGTTTTAATACATACTCATATTGTAGAGCAAATAAAATATATCATTCATTCATAGCATTTAGAGAGCACAGTGGGAATCTAGAGCCCATGTTTTAGTATGATTCTCTCACTGTGAAACTCAGTGTTTAGTCTGGTAAAAAACGTACTGATCAAAATGTCGAGAGTCCTCCAGAGGAGACTGCTCCTGTCACTCCCATTTCTGGCCCAGCAATGGCTTCTTTTTCCCATTCGCCCTTTCTCCTTGGCCTTGAGGATCTCTGACTACAAAAGCAAGGCCAGCCAAGGAGAAGCTGGGAGGCAGAAGCAGCCTGCGTAGGCCGAAGCAGCCTGTGTAGGCCAGCTGAGCCCGAGTGAGGGGGCTGCGGGATGTGCACAGCAGAGCCAAGGCCACGGCTTTAGGTGCCATTGCTCCATATACAGAGGCCTCCCAGCTGCCCATCTCTACTTCCTACTGCCATTAACTCCAGGTGAGCACATCTCACTGCCTGGCTGAACTTTGTGTGTGGCATCTCAGCCTGACACCGAAAGAAGACATTGATTTTCCCCCCAAATATGTCTCTCCTTGCCATCCTCATCCTAGGAAACACTTCTCCCAGTTGCCCAAGCCTAACAGTTAAGCGCCGTTTCTGATCCTACCCTTCCCCAGATCCCCATCTCTGTCATCAAACTCTAGCCACCACTGTCACCCTAAGTTTAAGTCACCCCAGGCTAAGCCATCTGGATGTTGGGCCACAGCTTGCCAGGGGTGTCCCCAGTTCCCTTTCCTGTGCACAGTCAGCAAGCAGTGAGGGAGCTCTTTTGTAAACCCAAATATGCATGCCATTCCTCTAATCAAAATCCTGGGCTGCTTGCCTTGTCCTTCAGGCTGGACATGCCCCTGCCTCTCGTAGCCAGCTTCTCTCCTTCCCGAGCAGGTCTCGACCACACAGGAAGTTCTTGACCCCTGGGAGCTTTCTCCCACCCCAGGCACACAGCTCCAGGCAGCCTTCTCCTGACATGCTCTTCCTTCCTCCAGATGACCACACATCCGGCTCTCTCTGGTCCAGTAGGCCTGATGTGCGAACTACTTCCCCAAAGAAGACTCTCCTAGTGACCACTGTGCAAGCAGTTCCCCGGTCTCAACCTCTCTCACATCGCCCTGTTTGGTTTTCATCACAGGGCTTCTGGCATCCTGGTTTTTCTTTTGTTAGCTCCTGTCAGTCTCTCGGCCCCACACCCCCGATCCTGAACTATCAGCTTCATGAGAGCAAGGGCCTTGTCTGGTCTTTATCCTCAAATGCCCCAGACCTAGAGCTGAATATGGGGTTCACGACATGTTTATGGACCCAAGGAACTTATCCAACAAAGAAGAAATAAAATTAAGACGTAGATGAACATATCTCTGTGATAGCTACAACTGTCCTACTAGTGGGTCAATTGTATACATGTAGGGATATACCTGAATTCATGTTTCTAAAGTAAAGAAATTTTGTCACTCATTGCTTACACTGAAAATTCAAATATATAAATTCAAACATACCAAAGAACCCACTTACAAAAATTGCTCTCTAGGCTAGGGATATAGGTTAGCAGCACTGAGCCTGCGTGGCATTTCCAGGATCTGAGTTCAAGTCCTGGTACAAAAAAATAATTGATCTCAAAAGCATTTGCGCTTTTAGCCAGGCATGGTAGTGCATGCCTGGAATCTCAGAACGCTGGGAGGTTTAGACAGAAGGATGCTGACTGCAAGCCCAGCTTCAGCACTCAGAGGTTTAGAGACTTGTCTCAAAATAAAATATAGAAAAAGGCTCAGGATACAGTTCAGCTCAGAGGCCTGGAGTTCACTTCCCGTACCACCATGGGGAAATGTCCTTGGATTTTCTTAACTTTGGTCTCTATTCTAGATCACACTTTTTGGAGGAGATATCCCTCATAAATACTGAAGCTATCTCCTGAAATATAGCACCGTTCACAGAATACAGTGCCACAAAGTGTGACTGCCTTTGTCAATGGCCACAGCACAACATCCCAGAATCTTCTGTAACCTTTTCCCGACCCCAAATCCCACCTAGTGCTCTAATTTCCTTGTCACACACCTTTTCCTCTCCAGTAATTTTGAATTTTATACTTACCAAGAAAATATGTCTACATTTCTATAAAATGTGCCAACACAAAAGCCTAAAGAGTGACAAGTTCTTTCGGCACTAAACCACACCAATCCTACGTCATTCTCAGAATCAGTTAGCCCTTTCCCCAAATGCATCTTTTAAAAGCAGACTTCCTTATTAAAAGCAATTTTCAGTAGTAGATGCCGGCTCTGCTTTCTGTTATAAAGGTACTTTTGCTTCTCACAGATTACCAGCAAGGCTGGCTTTGCTGGGTTATAAAATCAGACTGTGTTTGAGCTGGAATAGGTTACAGAGCTTCAAAACTGTGAAAATCGCAGGCAAGCAGAGAGGAAGAAAAGACAGGCTGGACACTTGGCACATGACCTTCTGTGAGAGGCAGGCTGACACAGAGGAGTGAAACCTGGACACAGCCAACTCCAGGCCCTGGGCACTGCAGGTCAACTCTCCACATTCTGATTTTCAGGAGCCATCACACAGTGGCTGCTGGTGGTGCTTACCATGTTGTAGAGCGTCTGCTAATCAACTTAAAAATATTTATTGAGCATCTACTATGCTCTTGACAGTGGTAGCACTGGGCTAACCCAACTCAGCTTATGTACTAAGAAACAGTGAGCAGGTACACTGGTATCAGCTCAGCCCTTCTGACTCCATCAGAATGGGTGCCTGTCGAGAATGACTATGGTGCTAGAGCAATCCCACAGCCACAGCACTGGCTACAAAGATGCACCTTTGAGGAAGGGTCTTGAGCCACCAGGACCTCTACAGTGACTGCCCTGAAGTGCTTCTGTCTGTAAGCAGCACTTGTGTGGCAGAGCAGTTTCATCACCTGGTGCATCTAACAGTCCTGAAGTTACTTCATGACCAGGAACAACCACTATAAAGAAGCACAGCGTTGCACCAGGAACACAAATGACTAGTTTCCCGTGGTCACAATATGATGGAGACTGCCAGAAAGTGGCTCTGGGCAGGATTTGAATTAAACAATTGGCTTTTCATGTCCACTGGTGAGTCTGTCCAAAGCCTAGGCCCCTTGCCTGGACATGGGCAGGGGACGAATAGTAAGTGAATCTCTGTGAGTCACTGTCCTCGCTGAGGCCTCTAATGGCTGGTGAAGTCATGGCTCTTCAGAGGACAAGGGCACAGCTAAAGGCACCTTGCTCCAACCTGAATTAACTAGACGAAGACTGTAGTTGCAGGTATCTCACTCCTGGATGTCCTCTTTCCTGGTCATAACATAGTTCTCCTAAATTAACATAATGTCATACTTGGAGAAGTCCTGGAGCAGTTCTGCCTTTCATCAGTATTCCCCTCCCTTGTTTTGATGACTAAATAAATACAGGCCATCCAGTGAAGGTCTTTGTCTAAGATGCAGAGAATCTCTAATTTTGTTAGAGGGTTTTGATCCTCCTGGATCCCTAAAATCGTATCACGTGACTCATTTATGTAAGCCTTTGCTGTGCATTTGTTCAGGAGACTGTAGGCCTGATCAGTCCACAATAACTAAAGGATATTAATACATTAACAATACAAGCCATGTGGCTGGGGAGATGGCTCAGTAGAATAAGCACTTCCCTGGCAAGTGCAAGGGCCTGAGTTCAATCCCCAGCTCCACCAAATACAAACCACGCTCACCACTCTCATTCTGCATAGGTGTTAGTATGCTAATTTGAGAACTAAAAGAGAAGCCATCAAGGGATCTGCCATAACTTTATCCATTATTATTCAGCAGAAATGGAACAAAAATCAATCTGACACCTGACCCAGAGTTCTTTTCACTGGAACTCACATTTTACACATGGGCTGAATGCAATAAGAAGGGGACCTAAACTTCCATTAATAAAAGAATTGTAAGAGTTATCAGAGTTGTCACAAAGCACAGGACTAGGAACTACACAGCGGGTGGGCCCCACGGTACACACTCAGGAAACTGAGGTGGGAAGGCCATGTACACTGAGGAGTTCAAGGCCAGCCTGGGCCAGACAAGACCTCATCACAGAAAAGAACTAGGTATGTATATCTGACTTCATGTCTCTGCAATAGCTATGCCCAAGATTTTATGACCATCCCATACCATGTGGATAATAAAAAACATCTGAACATAAATCTTTACAAATTTTTTTTTTATCTTTTATTTATTTATTTGGTACAGGGTCTTGCTACGTGGCTTGGACTCAAAGTGATCATCCTGTCTCAGCTTCCCAATGCTAGAATTACAGGCATGTGCCGCCACATCCAGTTTTGGGGCTGGTAATGTGTACCTTGGGTTCTGGGGCTGGCACGGCATGCAGTACTGGGGACTGAACCCAGGGCCTTCTGCTTTCCAGGCAGATGCTTAGACTGCCAAGCTATTTCCCCAGCCTGAGCATTAAATTCTTATATAGCAATATTTATTTATAAACAGACAACTATTTTAATACACTACATAATTATAAAGCACATATGAAAGTAGCATTTTGTACTTGCCTTTCATTGAATCCTCTTGTACCCTGAAGGTATATTTCCTCTATTTTGGGAACCAAGGTAATTTAATGTTCTTCTTACAAACTTTACACACAAAAACAATAGCAAATAAACAAAAAAAGAACAACGTATTAACATTGTTAGATAACTAAGCTGGACTGTACAAAAATACATTCAAATCAAGAAATGTACCTAGAGCTTAGGGTACATTCCTGAATTTAAAAGATGACAAGATTTCCATGTATGGGCAAATGAAGGGAGGAGCCACACTGGAAAATATCTGATACTTCCTCAAGCAGTTACAGGACTGTTTTCAAGCTAGTCTTTCTACTTGTGGGCATGCACCTGAGAAGAATGAGGAAATATGGCCATGCGGAACTTATTTTTTTTTTTATATAATAAAAAATCTAATTTTTTTTTTTTTTTATTCTGTAAGGACATGGTTTAAACTTTTTTGGGGGAAACATCTAAAACTGTAAATGTGGGGGAAATCTCACAACATTGAAGGATGATACCTACTATTCCTGATTCACAAATCTGTTTTAATGCTATAATACCAGGGTTCGATCCCCACTGTGCTGTGCTGGCCCCGCCCCTTGAGGGGCTGAGACAGTGACTGAGACTGGGTGTGGTGGCACGTGCCTATAATCCCTGCACTATGGAGGCTGAAAACAGGAGCATCACTATGAGTCCAATCTACATAATGAGACCCTGAAGATCTTGTACTAAATATGAAAATAAAATAAAGCTATAATAATGTAAATAGTATGGTATATTGGGGCTACAATAAAGTAATATGGAATAGACTTGAAATGCAATTGAACATATAGTTATTTAGTTAATTTAGATGGTTATTAAGATGACATTTTAAATAATTGATAAAAGCAGAGCATTCATGTGAACATTCCAAAAACTAATAAATCATTTGTTTAAAAACATTTTCAAATCTCTTTTTTTAGAATTCTTAAATTTTATTTTCTTTAATAATTTTATTGAAAAACAAATAGCAATGAGACAGTTTCAAAATTGATTAGTAGAACAGTTTCAATAATTAACACATTACATATTGTTGTCTTCTTAGTGGTTATTCATAGTACAAGATGCAGACATGATATCCTGTCTACAAACACTATTAAAACAAATCTTTCTATTCACTGATTTAAGAGAAAGTGGCTGTATATCTATCCTAACTATTTGGAATATACAGATACAAAATGGTCCTTCATTTGTATCCAATTTTTTAATTTAGTTTTGTCAGAGAAGGGTATTCCATTGTCATTCAACTACTGTAGGTACATGAATTCAGCAAAATATTCCAATATCGTCCAGTAGTCCCTAATAGTAGTGGGATTCCATAGGACTGGCAATGTTGGAAGTTGTTGACGTAATAAGCCTTTTACAGCTCAGTATATTAATATGGCTTTACTTTTCATTCCTCATTTTTATACTTTTCTGCTGGATGATTAAGACCAAGATAAAGTAAAACCTATGTAACAAGAACTGTAACTTTGGTATGGCCAAAGTCAGTCAAATCCCCTCAGGATTTATCCTGAGATCCTGTATCTCAGATTGTAGAACCTTTGTCAGTGTCAGCCATGTGGATGAGTCACGGCCATTGCTTGGCCAATGTGTTCTCTGTGAAAGATAGATAGATATCTCTCCATGTGACTCTCCTTAGGCACACTCTACATCATCAATCACTTTGCTCTGTGGCCCCGTAATCTCCTTGATCAGAAAATTTGGGCCACAACTGAGTTACATGATGTTACAGTATAGCTCAACTGCCTATGTTGTAGGGTAGTAATAACAAGCTTCTCTTCTGGAGAGTTAACAACTTAAATTTTCAGACAAAAAAATTAGAGAAAACGAAGGGCTGCAAGGACAACCAACATTTTAGCCCTAGCCTTTCAAGGTCAGTGAGGACTCAGGACATAGGAAAGCCATGCAGAACCTATACCTGAATTAGTAGTGCACCATTACACACCACAGGCAAAAAGAGGAAACAATCTAAATGCTCAGCCATCAATGAATGGATTAAAAGCCTTCTGTATCTACAAAAGGAATGACACTCAGCCATAATTAGAAATGAGGCACTGATGCATGCTGCAGCATGGATGAGCACTGAAAACACTGCACTAACTGAGAAGTCAGACAAAAAAGATACTTACCACTTATATAAAATGTCCAGAATAGGTAAATCCCTGCACACAGAAAGCAGACTGGCAGTTGCATAGAAGAGAAGTGAAATGGCCAAGGAAAAGGCCAAGGCTGTCCAGGTTTCTTTCCAAGGCAATGAAACTATTCTAAAACTGTGGCAATGGCAGCACACACCTGGAGGTTCACAAGAAACCACTGACCTGTGTGTTAAATGGGTAAATCAGACAGCATGTGAATTATCCCAATCTCAGTAACTCTGTCTTACAAAATGAAATGAGAAGTGCTCCTTTCCTTTTAAAAAGATCCAAGAAAACTAGAGAGGCTTGGTGTCCAAAGGCCTGCAAGAGCCAAAGAGCATCAGGGGTGCATCAAGCTATAAACGGAGACACTGCACGTAAGTGAGAAAGGTCAGAATAGAGTGTGCGTACTGGAGATGCTAAGCAGATCTAAAATTGATGGGGCAAAGAAAGAGGAAGTAATAAGTGACAGTGCAACAACAGAATTATCTAGAAAAAATCCACAATGGCTGGTAAAGACAGTATCAGTGCTAAGGTTACCAATAATTACATACCTATCACTGGTGCTTGAGGCTCAGACCTTATCTTTCAGTCAGCAGCACAGCAGAGGGTCTGTGGCCTGGTGTACAGACAAAAAGCAAAACCAAAGAGGTGATCAGTGCCGTGATGTGTAGCTAAGTGTCTATCCTTTACAAATATGTGCACAAAGATTTAGAAGTAATTGCTATGATATCTTAAATTTGTTTTAAAACAATACCAGTAGGGGATGAAATATGGATGAGTCATAATTGGTCACTGAAGCTGGAAGAAGAGAAAATGTTCATTGTACTTAATAGTCTCTGTACTTTGCAATTTGAAATTTTCCATTAGAAAATTCCTATGAGTGAATGTTCTCTTTTTAATCCTCAAAATGTGCTACATCTATCCATATGCCCATAAGAAAATTCTGTGACCTCCTTATCCTACCTAGACATCATTACACTTTCTACCTCTAACCCTCTAGGGCTTCTTAAAAATGCTACCTATGGGCTGAGGCTTTTCCCACCATGCCTTACAAAAGTACATCCCTATAGGTATGTATCAACATTTATTGTGTAGGTAGCCCTCATCATCTCCTACCTTCCTACACATTAGTTCCTAACATATATGACATCTAGTCAGTGCTTCACACTGTTCTATATTCTCCACACAAACATACACACACAAAACACACACACACACACACACACACACACAATTTTCTCAGCCCTGGATTAGGCCAGTAAGTAGATCAGTGTTTTAAACTATCACCAACTTGTCCCAAATTTTCTGATCAAGGAGATTATGGGGCCACAGAGGAAAGTTATCAATGATGCAAAGTATGCCTAAGGAGAGTCACCTAAAGAGAAAAAATTCTCTCAGACTTTCACAGAGAGCAAATTGGTCAAGCGACGGCTGTGACTCATCTAGATGACTGATACTGACAGAAGATCCACAAAGTGCTTTACATGGTTCCAGGGTAAATCTGAGGGGATTTGACTAACCTTACCAGATAGCAAAAGTTACATTTTTAGTTATAAGGTCTTGCTTTAACTTGGTCTTAACTATCCAGCAGAAAAGTGTAACCATGAGGTATAAAAAGTAAAGCTATGTTAACATAAGCTGTAAAAGGCTCAATTCAACAACTTCGAACAATTGCCAGTTGTGTTGGTAATTCACTACTATTATGGAGTATTGGACTATATTGGGTTATTTTGCTGAATTCAAGTAGCTACAATTTTTGGACTGGCATCAAGTATGAAAAGATCCTGTTTTTTCCCCTGTATTTTAGGGAATGGTCCAGAGTCTCACTAGTAGACTGGACTCATAGTGATTCTTCTGTATACAGCCTCCCAAGTGCTGGGATTACAAGCATGTGCCACCACACCCAAGCTCAATCAATGTCTCAGCATGCCCTGAGGGCAGGACTAGCGTGGCAGGCCTGGGGATTGAAACCCTGGCCCCTGCATCTGCTTGCAGGGCTTTAATCCTGAGTTATTTGGCTGGCTCCTGAAAAGTCCCTTTAAAGACTTCTCCAAATACAACTTTTCTAACAGTAATGGCACCCCCCTATCTTACAAAAACA